TTGTCTCCCATTAATTTCCAATGTGGTCATTTTGACCGTGAACAATACAAGTGTGATTATTTTTTCAGGACTATTTAACCTTTCGAATCATGTCCATGACATTTTTGTGTGTTCACATAGTGAACAAAGTGCCAAAACCTTTACCAAGTAAAAAATTCCAAAAAAGTTTTTTACGGTATTTTTGATCCAATACCTGCAGAGACTTCTTACAAAAACATATAATTATTTCAAACTTCATATGTAAACATATTAAGTATAATGTGTTATGTTATATATACTGTATACGGGGTGGGGTTCGGAACGAACAACCCAAGAGTTAAACAGAATCACCTGTTTTAAAGTCTCTGGAAACTTGGAATCCACCCAAACTCATCAGTTCCCCCTTAATGTGGATTTGTTTCGTTAAAGCCCAGCTGACGCTCGCAATAGATTTACATCAGCCGTATAATATCCCAGATACAAATTAAAATCCAAGAGCCATAGTTGTCCCTTGGCATAGCTCTTGTCATTTCAAGCTCCCTGTTATTCTCTGGCAGTGCTTTAGGACTTTGGCTTGGCTGCGAATGTTCTCCACTGTGGCCTGCCAAGTTCTGCTGTCCTCTCCCACCAGTCTGGACAACGTCCAGCCTTGTGGAGCCAGTGTGGGGGGCCAGGACTGAGCCAGACCCCAAGCCCCATCCCATGAGAGCAGACAGGAAGGGTGGGGGGACCCCACAGAACGAGAGGAAGAGGAACTGGGACACCAATAGAAGATAGAGAAGCAACCTACAAGTTCAAACACACCATGTGTGTGTCTAAAGTACAAGTAAACTCAGTTCCTGTACATCTTTTCTTGGAAAACCCACTGGATGGAAGCGAAGTGTAGCTGCGCCCTACTGTGCGACTTCGCTGTGGCGTAACATCTGTTGTGTCATCCTGTTTAATTTGCTGCGTCCTTTATATGCACCCCGCCATCACCACCTCTGATATTTCTCAGATCTTTAGCTATGAATAGAAACAATTACACAAGCTAGGTAAACAGCGATGACTTCCTCTCTTACATAAACACTGATGGAAGTGTCTGTGGAAACTGATCTTTAATAGAGCAGAAGGAAGTGTTCCTTGAGATTTGTTCTGGCTGAGCCCGTTGGGAGGACATTCCCCACCCTCTCCATATCCTCATGCTGGACATGTCTTTGTGGTCGTCATTGATTAAGATCAAGTGCGGTTTGTTTCCTAGAAGACCCTCACATATGCTGACACCCCCCTTGGTTCAACAAAACTGAGGGAAGCTGATGAAATCCTGATTCTTCAAGCGATGCAAGACATCATTCAAAGCTAAATGGGAGGGGTGTGAGTCGAAAGCTGATAAACAATGACAACATTAATAATAATAAAAAGAACATGATATTTATGAAACATTATTTAGAAGTTAATTTTTGAGTTGTGTGAGACTAAATTAATCTGTCCAATACAACATTCAAAGGTCAACTAATGATTAAATCTATTACAACTAAACTATTAAAACTGAGTGTCAATGAGTACATGCATTAATTGTGAATGCAGAGATTTTAAGAACTTTTTCAATAAAAAACAATATTTGTTACATATTGACTGTTTTTTTTTTTTTTTTTGCATTTTAATTAATTTTATTCTGCAGCCCCCTTGGAAGTTTGCTGAGAACCACTGGTCTACAGATGTTTGAAAGGTATACACCACATCAATCAGTTGTATTGTCAAACAGCATTAAACAGCATAAAATATTTTAATATTTAATGTTACACTTCTTTATATACCTGCAGTTTTAAGGGTGACAATGCCCCCTGTTGCCTTTTGTTTCAATAACATTAAAATCGCTAATAAAACTAATAAAATGTTCAATCATGCAGCTTCTTTAGCGGAAATCAGGCTAAAAACTGCATTAATAATCTTAGTCTAATGTGAAACTGCGGTAAGAATTATATATTTTTTTAAACAACCAATAAAACATAGTCCAGTATCTGACAGATATTACTAGGAAGGAGAGTGGACGTGTTAGGGAGGGTGTGTTGAAGCTAGCAAAATGGAAATCACACAACCTTCTACTGAAAGCCTTTCTTTACAGCCGCCATATTGATTCGCATTGCAACATCCCTATTCGTTTTATCTACAAGGAATCTGTCGCCTCTTCCTTAAACTGACTGTGGGTTTGGCCTGCCATCGGCATCCAATAAGATCGGTAGATTGACAAGGAAGGAAGGAGGGAAGGAAGGAAGTAAAGGGTTCTATTTTCGTTTGGTAAGTTGGGACAGAGAGTTCTGAGTTTGTTTTTTGGGCATAAAGGTTGTAAAGGTCATCACAGCCTCTGAGGGGGAAGTCAGAGTGCGAGTCAAGAGGATACTGTGTCTCTCATACAGGGACTTACCCAGTTCATCTTTCCTCTTTGGCCCTCAGCAAAATTGTTATTCACACTCATCTGCTGCATTACACTCCATTACTTTAGGTATAGGCTATGTGTTTTGATAAGGTAAGCAGCGCTGTAAAGTTAAGGAGGTAGGAGGGGGCATCAGACAATGATCAAGACAAGAAATTGAAGTTTTAATTGCAGGTTAGAGATGGAGCGAGGATGAGAGGAAAAAAAGGAAAGAGGGAATGATTACCTAACATAGCAGCTAGTAATTTAAGAAAGGCAGGAACCATTTAACACAAAACGTGTGGTGTTTAATGAACAGTTTGCCTTCTGTGGGAGCGAATTAATCGCACTCTCTCCTTTTCCATCCATTTCATTTTCTCCCTCTCAGTGCACGTCCATTTTTTGTGCTATAAAAGGAACAGTGTAGAACTAAAATGAAAATCCTTTCATTAGGGCAGGCTTATTTACTCACCTTCATGCGTCATCCCAAATATATGCTCCTTTTAACAAGCAAAAACCTTTTCATACAACATCTCATTGACCACAATTTTAAGCCCCCAAAACACTTAAAAGGGTAGTGTGGCGTCAGTGGCGAGCAGAACGAGGCCGAGGGCCGTTAGAGAGCAGCACGAGGCCGGTGGCGTGATTTCTGATGATGAGCGACACATGCGTGACGCACCGGTCTCGAATCTCTCACGGAGGAGCGGAAGCATAAAAGGAGGAGCGACGACAGTGTTTACTGTAACCGCGTTACAGGTAGGGTGGTGAATAGACCAATATTGAACTTTTGCTCTTGTTCTCCTGGCTTCTAAAAAATGTTCGCAGGCGAAATCTAGTAATTTCACATCCACGCGATCAGGAATTTCGCGCCCAAGAGTTCCTCTCTCCGATTTCGCAATGTGTTTTGGTAACCCCAAATCTCCGATTTGAACAACTCAAAGCTTTGTCTTTTGGTCAGTTTCTCTCAAAAAAAGCTTTAGAAAACATTTAATAGCCTACAGTCCTCAAGTTGTGAAGCTTTATGAGTGTTGTTTTTGGCCAGATGCTAATAGCTCGATATGAACTGTGGTCGTTAGAAAATAGCAGATTTAGGATTTTTTAAAATTATTTTCCAAGGAAAAATAAGGCCATTTGAGTTCAGAATAAAATGAGGACAAATAAATATTACATTGTTCCTTTTTCAGTAGCCCACACTATTCTTTTAAAACAATCTTTGTTGTCACAGACCGTGACAGTCACAGATTAAGCTCTGTTGCTGTTCTTTTGGATATGACCAGATTTGTTTAATGGTTGGCGACTTTTCTATAAACTGAAAAGGGAACAAAAGCTAGTAACTACTCTTGGGTGCAGTGATGAGGTCTTGTGGGAACTAAAAATGTCTGATTAGCTTTATCAGCTAAACACAGACCATTACACACAACAGCAGCTCATTAAAACAATGTGTGAAGATTTAGAAAATTGAAAAACAGTTTTTAGAAGGTTATTCAGATTTCCTTCGCGACTCCAATTCCTCTCAACACTGAACCAATGATGTATAGAAAGTGTTATGACCTCTGTGATTTCTCTGAGGATATTCACTTTTCAAATGAGGAAGTGATTTAAAACTTACATTTTATAAGCCTGATGTTTGTTACTAGGCCTATAGTTAGACAGTGCTGCTGATGAGCTGAAAAATATTCCAGTTAGTGGGTGTTATTGGACTATTTGTTATTTTACAAAAGATGATGTTAGCTTCTTTTGTTTTCTTACACATTTCAGAGAATCTGGAAAGTTTTACTTGCATTATGGTTTCAATGGACTCCTTTGAAAGACAATTACCGGTGTAATCTATCTGTGGATACTCTTTTCTTGGTGACTTATGACTTTCCAAAACAGCTCAACAGATGGCTACAATACAAAAACAAGCACACATAATGGAGTGTTGAGAAAGAGAGAATAATAAAACTGTGTGAAAAAGAGGTGGGTGTTCTTCCAACTCAAGCAACCGTACCATTTATATAGATTTGACTTCTTCCTTTTTTTTCTGCCCCATAATCATCCTGTCACTTTCCTGTTAAATGCAGCTTTGTTCAGGATGATCAATTAAACAGTACAGAGAAGTTTGGACCCAGATCTTCTCCATTATCTACAGCAGACCTGAATCAGATTAGTAGGCAAAGTGTTCTGGCACATGTAAAAAAGCACAAGAGAAAGAGCGACCAAGTTAGTTTCTTTTTTTTAAAACTATGATTTTAATATTCCGCTATTGCTTCTCATTACAGAGTTTAGTCCAGCATATTTCAGTCAGTAACACACTCTTTTGCTTAATTTCACACAAATCCTCTTCTAAAGATTCAAAGCAGACAAAAGAAATTATTGACAAGGTTAATGTAAAGAAATCATCAAATGTTAGTACAATCGGCAAGAAAAGATTAATCAAATTATATAACTAGAGATAGTTAATAGCTTACAATTTACATGAGAAGGCACAGAGGCAAAGCAACAATGACAAACCAAACACCCCAGCAAATAGCTGGAACCAAATAATATTGTTCATCGAATGGGGTTTTCCATTTTCCACCACCTATGGAATTATATCATCATGGTAAAAATATGTCTCTCATATCAATTTTTGTAATAAGGCATACTGTTCATATCTGGAAATGTGATTTAATGTTATTTCTCACATACAAAATATGATAGAAAAATACATTATAAAATGTTACAATAGTTATAAATTGGACTGTATATTTTCCAATGCAGGGAGCTGCTTGGGTTTGCAACCAAAAAAAAAGACAATAATAAGCTTGAATGGCGAGTTGCAGTTCATTGGCATATACAATACACAAACACTCACTCACACAATCATCAGTAAACATGCTTACACATGTCGACATGGTCTATAGTAATACTGCATGGAAGGCAAACACTAAACCAAAAAACCCACATTAACAAACTCCAGTTCCTGGCCGTAAAAACAAATTCCATCTGTTAAATATATTTGCAGGATTTTTCCTTTAGCAATATCCAGATTAATAGTAATAAAAAAAATGACATGCAACTTGATTACAAACGCAAACGTCTAAAAAGTATTGCATTTGCTCTGCATAAATACAACCAATATTATTATTTTTTAAAAGGAGATGAGATCTTCTTAAAATCCAGTTATGATAACCAAATAACAACATGTAATCATAATTTGTTAATAGGCTTTTAGTTTCTGAAATGATACTGGAAGACCAACTGAAGGACATTTATTCGGTCATTTTAATAAAACTGAAAATCATTTGCATAGGAAGGAAATGTGACATGTCTGCACACAACTTCTAGAACACTTAAATTCTTCAAAAGGAATAAAATGACTAATTAACCCCAAACCTTTATCAATTTCAACCTGCTGAATTGAAAAAATGCTCCTTGAGATATAAGCTGAGTGAAAAATACGGAATCGAAGTAATAGTTTAGAAGTTTCATATTGATGTGCTTCATTGCTGTATAACAGATGTAGTGATGCTCTATAAACATACACATATTTTCACAAACAATCAGATTGCAAGCGTAAAGAGCTCAAGAAGTACCTAATGTAGTGTGACAGGGTAAAACTCTATTAATCATTATTCGTAAAGAAAGATATTAAACGCACATAAAAACACTAGTTTTTGAGTGTAACGCCTGCAACATTGTTCTGTACACCTCGTTTTCATGATCACCGATAAAGAGGAATTGAACAGAAATACCTGATATGTTGGCATATAACACATTGATGGACATTCATACTTGTTCATAATTGATGATAGTGTAAAATAAGGCACTTGTTTGTTTGTTTTTATTTTAAAAAAGACACCGTTTTGGTCTCTAAATATTTGTCATAAGGAAATACGCATTGTTTGTTCATCACATTTTGACAATACTGTTTTTTTTAATACAAAAAAGGATCACCTGTGAAAAATATATAATCATTTCCTGTGCAGCACCCTCGTATCAAAAAGATATTAATTGATGTTGTGTTTGTACACTTCCTCGTGTGACTGAATGCTTTTTCGACAGCTCTCTGAAGAAAACGCTGGTAGGCAAGCATGGTTTTTACATCCCTTACGGACATTTGGACCTCTAAGTCAGTTTTAAAGTAAACTGCAGGGTTTTTCTTTTAACTCTTCAGGATGGTATGAGAACTGCAGTGCACAAACTTAGAGTGTTAAACATTATGCTCAATTATTCATTTTTAGAAACAAATAAAGATGTGTGTTTATTTAGTGTGTGCATGTGAAAGGCTAACATTAGGATTTTAGGTGTCGCCCAGACAGTGTTATTGCTTTATTATGACACTTCAGTGCAGGCTGGGAAGCCCAGGTCACCTGACCAAGGAGGTCCTCAGTTTGAGAAGGGGAGTGATTCGGTTCTGCGGGTGGTGGCGTGGGGCCATCACGGCTTCTCGGCTGTGTTAAGCGAATTAAAGCTGCTTCTGGGCTCACCAGCAGGCTGCCAAAACATAGAAGCGAAGGACGAGAGCCAGAGAACTGGTCAGCAGGCAGGCAATGGTCAGGTCATCATTGGGTGAAGAGTTCAGAGGGTCATTGGTTAGTTGCCGGTGGCGGCTGGGTTGTTAGAGAAAAAAAAAAATGGACAGACAGAGGGGAAACGAAAAAAAAAAAAAAGGACATAAAAAGGACACAAAAGAAAAAAGATAGAGAAGGAGATTAGTTTCAGCTAGTGACGGTTGGATGACAATATGACATTACTAATTACAGCTACTGTAAGAGAAAACTGCTCAAAGTCTACATTAACACGGCAAAATCATGAAAGCCTCATGATTTAACTCCAGAACCCATCCCTCAGGTGAAAATGGTTAAAGAAGCAAAAAGGCAAATCAATTACAGAGTCATTAAACTAACAGCACTTAATAGTTAGTAGCAGTCAACAGAGTTTGGGTGTTTGGAAAAACCGATATCAATCCTGGATTAAGAGATGCAAGGATCCTCTGACTGCTATTAAGCATTAGAGTGCTGCTTCAATACAAAAGCCACAAAGCTGCTAGTGATAATGATATGGATTCATGAGTAGTTACAGAGATGTGACGAGAGAGGTAAAATCAGAGAGTGACAGGCTAATCAAAAGATTTCTAGACAGCACAAAAAGTTTGGTGTTTTTTTTAACTCAAATTTTATTGCCTTTAAAATTGGACTATTTACAAAAAAAAAAAAAATACAGAATGATACTAAAGCACATTGGCTGAAATTTAGGGCTAAAACAACACTACAAACACAATGAACACAGTCTACTTGTTTCGCAAGCTGATCAACTCTTAGCCTAAAACCTTATAAGACAGTGTATCAAGACTGTCACAGGTACGACATCCTAAAAACAAAATGTACCCCATATGGAAAAATAACATGGCATTGTTCTCTAAGCTTACATGTTTATAAATTCCCTATTCATTTACAAATACAATAGAATTTCATAAATGTTCTTGCTTTAAAGTTAAACATATTGCTTTCATAAACTCATCTTTAAAAGATCACACACGATAACTGGTTTTCCATACATTTGACAAAATTCAAAAAGAAGCTTACTGCAAAACAACAAAGAAACAAACAAACCAAAAATGGAATATTTCATCAGTTCATCTGTTGTTCTTGTGCTAAGAGACAGGCACAGTGTGAAACCGTCCTGCTTTGATAAACAACCTAACATCTCATGAGGTTTTTTGCGTTTCGTTTTTTTTTTTCTTTTCTTGTTTCACTTTGCTCTGTCTGAGTAGTGCAGACTAGGAGCTGGTGATTTAAAATCTTCAGTGCAAAATACTTGTGCCATATTTTTTATGATGAGGAATTTCTTGAATGGAGAGTTTAAGGGATCATAAGCACCTTAATAATGCACAGAGCAACTATTTTAAAAACGAGTAGTGCATATGATGACTTACACTCTCAAACAAGTCCTAACCTTCATAACCGTCTAGTCTATCTCATGTGGCACTGTCCAAGCCAGGTGCTAGGAATATTTCATCCAAGGGCATTTTCCCTGCACAGAAATCTTTTACAAATGATCATAGATCTTTCTGTGGCTGTGGGCAGTAAGCCAGACAAGGTAGATTTGACTTTTTGTGCAATTTCACAATTGTTATGCATTAAACTGGTCAGTTGTATTGGTCTATTAAATTATGACATGTTAAAGTCTTATGGGAGTGAAATTCACTTGATCAGTAGATTCTCACATTTAAAGTTTTTTTCAGGAGTCATAGTTATTATATGTACAGTTTTGGCACATCCACATGTTTGCAATATGAGTTGTTTAATTCAGTTTCATTACAGCAATCTTTAAAAGCTGGTGCTGTAATTCCCTTAGATCCAGTTTATTCCATTTAAGGCATTTGAAAGATTTTTTTATCATGAATATGCTCAGTGACCCGGGCCAGAAATTATTACTTTTAACTTAAAATACAATTATCAACTGATCTATACATAAAAACTGCAGTAAAAGGTATAAATAAAATATGTAAGTTGAGGAAAGATTCTCAAGAATGCATTAGAAAATTGTAACATGAGGGAAAAAAACTGATTTAGCAGAAATCAAAGTATCTTTACAGAAGAAATACTGTAATGAGATACAGCTTATAACAAGCCTGAAATAATATTCAGTAGTTTGAAGTTTCTCAATTAATATGATTAAGTATACATCTGTATCATAAATTGGGGAAAATTCTAATTGCACCTATCTTCTAAACAATATATAATGCTTGCCTGGCCAGGTTGAAATATGATAAATAAGATTATGTTTCATTATGTGAGACTTTAAAAAAAAATCTTAGATCTTCCTCCAAAACCTAAATCTTGTCAAGTTGTTCCATTATTCAGAAAAACTCTTTGTAAGCTGCCAAAAACTGTTTCAAAGGATCAGGATTGGAAAGTAGATTTAAACGGGACACTGTATTCAAGCGGCATAAAATTATCTTCAAATACACTAAAACTATGAAAGAATATTAAAGGAATGACAAATGAAGAATAAACCGAAGCAAACAAACAGGTGAGCTCCATTACCCTTCATTGACTATGAGCCTGAAGGCCATCACAACGTCATCAGTGTAAGGAGTGCAGTGGACAGTCAGTTTTGCTCCATGTAGGTTCTGTGAACCCAAAGTGGTTCTAACACTATCACACTAGTTTTTCATCTACATACGTCCACAACTAAACTTCAGGTCATGTTTGTCTCAATATACAATGCATGTAAGTGCTGAAGTTATCAGATCATACCAATAGTCTGTTCCAAAACCTGGTGAGCTGTGCCTACAGAGGCAGTTGTTATGAGCTAAGTAATATGCTCATTGATTCCATTCTGACTTTAAGGCCATTCACAATGTGAGGACTAAAGATAGCCTCGTTTTACCTCATTTTAGCATAAGGCGGAATGGTATGTATCCTTCACGGAAAAGGCAATCCCAGAATGCATTGTGTCGTTGCAGTAAATCAACTAATACTGTGTTTGGCGAGCTGTTCCTATCGCGATGCCGATGATAAAATGTGCGATCCATTTGTATTCTTTTGAGAATTAACAACTTTAAAACGCTATGGAGAAAGTCAAACATGATCTAAAACTGCTACATAAACTAAAAAGACTGATGAAAACAGGAGAAAACATAATCAAGTTGGATAAATTATAAAGATTTTTAAACTACTCATGACCACCCATACTAGAATTTATCACTTTTTTTTTTTTTTTTTTTTTTGGAGTTGCTATTTGTAGATTAATAAAAAAAGAAAAAAAGTCAACATTTAGGAGCCATCAATGGTCTTACATGTAATTCTAGCCTTATTGTAACAAATGCTATAGTTAAACAATTACAAAAACTATATGATACATTTTCATTAGGGCAAGTACAAGTTTAAAGTATGGACGTTCTTGAATTACTGACCAAACAAGCAGTTTTCCCCATGTGTAAAATGTGTTCTGTTCTAATGACGACGGACAGGAAAAACCTGGCCTTCAGATATCCCAAGAGATGACATAGCTGTAATCATTATGAGCCTGATGAACTGTTAAGGAATAGGAAATAAATCATTTCAATATAAGAAAATGTAAAGTTAGTTTGACTTCCCATGGCATTTTGAAGTAGAAAATTCTGTCAAACTGATAAGGTTCCAGATGCTTAAATAATATAAAAACATCATATATCCTATGTAAACAAGTAATTGTTAACTATAGGCTATTTCTTTATTGCAGTTTTGTTATCAACCAACTTTGCATGTGTGGATTATAGGTAAGATACCACAAAAGACCATTTTGCTAAATTAAATAAATAAACAAACAAATAAATGTCATAAGGGAGCATTCTTTGAGACCCCGCTAAAACGGTTCACACATCAACCCCCCCCCCCCCCCCCCCACCCCCACCCCCACCCCCACCCAATGTTCAAACCAAAACTACGCCCTTGGTTCTTTGTATCTATATACCCTTAAAGTATCACACTGTTAGCTTAGCAACATGCTAACTGAAATCAATTGCAAGTCGAGTCTCTTGTGTGGAATGCAATTTATGTTACGTGTTGCTTAAGCAGAGTGTTCCAAATTGTACATGAACAGTGTTCCATGGTGGTTACGATGCTCTTTTTGAAGGTAGCTCACTAGATTTTGGAACAGAGCTGAAATCTCTGAGTTTGGAATGTTTTGACCTATTGTAAATCAGTTATAATTTTTTTTTTTTTTTCCAGTATTCTATTTTTTAACCTTTGCTTCAGTGACCCCAAGAACATGCTCAACATATAATACAAGTAAGATGATAACACCTTCAGTTTCAATGCATTTCTAGTCTGGCAGGTTTAGTGAGTAAACAAACCCTGCACAGTATGACTGGCATGTACTATACCCGATAACAGCAACACTGAAATCTCAAATGATGCTTTTGTTTGGCAGGTTAGAAGTTGCTAAAAACAGTTCATCTCTTTGTATTGAGTGAGATGCAATGAAAAAGACAGTGTAATCAGCATACTAAAGAAGACAAAGTACACACACACACACACAGAGCACAGTTTGAACACTGGAGCTAAACTAACCTCGTTCTGCGGTCACTACCCTTTGGTAAGGATGGACGCGCATATCCTGCCTTCGTACTTTAGTAGTCACTGCACCTGCTCAGAGCGCAACATTGCCAACAAAACAAGAATTAACAGATTATTAATCAAAATACATTAACACGACATTTCACACAAAATTGTTTCACAAACAAGGCTTGTGAGTCCAAATTACAAGGCACAAGTGACCTTTTCTCCATTGTGAAATGAAATCACATCATATGTTGTTCCCCTTCTCAATTTCCCAGTAAATCTGAAGTATTTCCATAAAAACACAAATGATGCGTAATGCTCTGACTAATTTAAACTATAGAGCCCTTGTATTCCTCTCAATACACAAGACGCTTCAGATAAAATGAATTCACTGCAGGCTTTCATGGAGAATGTTTTACACAAGTACGTTATATTAGCGATAATACTGATCACTCTCTAAATATCTAAGATACAGTTGCAGGAGAAATTAAGTGATACAAATATTACAAGCTAAACAAATATAGATTACTTTCAAACAGAGGAATGTAAAAAGGCTTAATTATCTGTATTTATCTGAAAATATCCATTTTTTAATCTATGAATAAGTCAACAAAACAGTTATGACCAGTGTAAACATGAGTAGTAATGATCTTTAGTCTTTTGTTTCTTATAAAAATCAGTTTCTTCGTTTGCTCTTTTGTTCCAAGGCAGCTGTAAAGCAAAGCATTTTTAACACTCGTATGGGCTGAAGACTGTGTAAAACCCCTGAGCATTACTAGCCTTTTGTCGGGAAAGCCATACCTACAAGGACAAGACAGAACGCTGGAGTTAGTCTACTGGATCTCTGAGCAAATGAGGACAAACTGTGTACTCCAAACAGGGTTGGACATACAGAATATAATATGAAATAAAATAAAATATATATTTTTAATATATATATAAAAATACTTAAATATAAAAAATAATTTAATAAAATAAAACAATATATTAACATAAAATGTATTATTATTATTATTGGTAACTCTTTATAATAAGTATAGAGTAACACAGCAATAATATAATTAGCAAACTACTAGTTTATAGTTTATTTACTGCAGTTAATACATTAATAGACTATATACAAATAGTGAGTTCTTCATTCATTGTCACTATAATTAAAAAAAGTGTTATTGTTTAATTAGCTCATATGTAAAGAGTTAGATAATGCTTTGTTAACAACTTATAAACCATGAATATTTCACACTTTAGATTACATCATGGAAAATCGTAAAATGTCATTAAGTGCTTTAATCCAGCCATTATTGGACAGTAATTACATTAGTATTAGTTCCTTAAAATGTTTCAAAGTATTATATAAAGTGTTACCTTATTATTATTAATAATATTATTATGAATATAAACCGCTACAGACAGATGAACAGTATAGCAAAATATCTAACTGTTGACAAATGCCATGCATTTTGGGTATATCATACCAGTCATAACTCCAAATCATGGTAATTGCATAATCTGTATAGAATACCTTTAAAGACAAACAAATTATCATATCTCTTACCTAAAACACCACTGGAGTCAATAGGATATTCAAGAATGGAGGCTGGGGCTAGGGTGTAGGGGTAATCGTAGGGTGCATAGATGATGCCTGACTCGGGGTTCTGGGGTAAGAGGTGGTGGGGCGTGCCCGTGGGCATGAGGGCAGAGGTCTGGATCTGTCGGATGAGGGGCATGAGGGTGGGTGCGTTGGGTGCAGGGTTACGCAGAGCCCCAGTGGGCATCCCCGGGGAGGGGCCGGTGATAAGGCGGGGAGCTTGTGCTGTGGCGGCCAGGGAGAAGGCTAAGGCTGCTAGACAGAACAAGATGCACAAAAGCAAATACACAAAGATGTGAGGGGAAAAGAAACTCAGGTGCTAATCAATCAACCTTGTTTTGCATTTCAAAAAGCAAACGAGCTGCCTATGCAAATATTTTTCACACAACAAGTTTGCGTAATAATACATCCACATGGCAACAAAAAATTAGAGATGGGCAACTTTGGTCCTG